AATGCGTAGTGCTCAGTGTTGCTTTTTTTCTGAAGTAGATTGTACTAAATACTGGAATAAATGGAGGGTCGATGAACGAAAAGAGTAGGCCTGCCATAGTTCAGGACGGTTGTCATACCATATTTATTTCCATAGTCACATACACACACACATGTGGAGTTACTAATAAACCCGTTGTTGTTGTTGTGTGTGTGTGTGTGTGTGTGTGTGTGTGTGTGCCTGTCAACTACTTTTCCTCAATTGCATAAGTACAACATTCGACATAGTTTTTGGTGGCTTCTGACTGTCGGTGTGTGTGTGTGTATCAGTTGGTAATTCTAAAGCAACATTATACTTGGCACCAGCATTCAGTGAAACCCACACGCGGATAAATGAGCTTCAAAACACCACTAGAAATCACGAGAGAACCTCTCTAAAGTCGCCTTTTACGACATGCATAGTAGGTAACAGTGTAACTAGTCTTCCATACAGGCCCAAGCATTGTGGACGTTGCGACTTATGCTTGATTAATATTAGCTTATGCGGTTTTCGAGGGAAATATGTCAAAATAATATTCTACATATTAACACGAGGCCGACATACAAACATTAAAAAGAGATTAAAAGGCAACAACTGCGATCAGCCGCAACAGTAAAGCTCCTTAATCGGCTCTTACGCCACGTTTGGAAGATTACGGGGTTTGAATTTTCTGCCTTACTATAAATGCTAGTAAGCCCTAGAATCACACAGCGATGTGTATATGTGAAACAAAACATGTTCTGAGAATTTTTCAAAACATGTTTATTGATCCAATGGATAACAGGGATGGAGAAAGTACACAATGTAACAGGGTTTGTCATAGTCACATCTATAAACTGTAGGCAGGGATAACAGAACTCCCACACCCCGTCACCTTTGAGGGAGAGTTGAGACCCCCCACTCCCCTTTTTCTCCACCCATCTCCCCTTTCCTCCTCCCCCACCCCATCCACTCTTACATTTTTTAATATGTGTTTATGCATTTACCCCCCCCCCCCCCCCCCATCCCCATATGTTAAAAAAATAATTTTTTTTTGCTATTCTGCCTATAATAATATTATTAGAACTATTATTATCACATAATTAATCACGGCTTTCGCTGACCCTCACTAACTGTTTTCTCTGTGGCGGCGCCACTAACGATATGGGCTTTACGAAATCCAACTATCCCGATCCTGTGACACGCGCATTCCGCAGACATATTAATTCTATTTTTGGATGCCGCAAACAGGAGACAACCTACTCTCTGCCATTGTCAAGTTGGCACTTAGCAAATAACGTGGGACCTCCAGTCGGTGCAATGGTTTTCTTCAGTTTGTGTGTGGTGTTTAAAAGTCTTGTTTCAACAGTTTTATGTTGCTTTATTTTTTAACATTATGTGGCTTTTTAAATAATAAAATGTACCATAAATTTAGTAATTAACAAAGCTATGTAATTAACAAAAACTACAACGTTACTGAAACTTCATAAGAAAATAAGTGCTCTAAACGTTCGGCGGTCACTCTGCCCTCTGTCAGCATGAACAACATGAGTGAAAGCTGAACGGAAGCCCATGATGGGAAAACAAGTAAGCTGGACGTCAAACCCAAATTAAGAACTGGCTTCTGGAATGTAAGAACCATGTTTGAAACGGCCAAAACCGCCCAAGTAATTAAACAGCTCTCACGTGGATACCAGAGGGAAAGAGAAAAAATGGGCGCACAAAAACAACATGGAGACGAACGATGGAAAGTGACCTGAGGGCGGTATCTCTGACATGGAAAACTGCACTGAAAATTGCACAGGACAGGAAAGCATGGAAAGTCCTCTCTGAAGCCTCATGTACTACTAGGCATAAAGAGAATTGATGATGATTATGTAATTAACATTAGATGATAGGTAATTCGAGTGTGGTTCGGGAACAAGTGTTTCAGATGCCATCAGATAGAAGATGTCTAGTTGCCTACATGCTAACGGCGCTGCAAACTGGGCGCAGTCACCATGAGATCCTCCCCACCTCCACCGCCCCAGTAAGTTTTATGGGGTGAATAAAGCGGATCTGTTCACGTTTCCAAGCCCAGGATTAGAGAAACTTCCCTTGCCATTTATGCCTCCTTAGGTCGCTGGACTCTCCTATGTTGCGGGGGTGTTATGATATGGCTTGGTTTTGGGTTCGCTGGGCGTAGTATGTAAAGTTTGTGGGAAGTTGTGTTGTTGTGCGTCTATTTCAGGCGCCTGTGATTTTCTTGTATTTCTATGTTCGTTGCAAGCCTAGAACCACCAGGAGTTTTAAGGATACTGACTTTTGCGTATGATATACTTGCATATAGGCAGGGGGAGAGAAGGAACAAACAGCCCGGGAGCTACAAGCGACAGTAGACAAAGTGACTGAGTGGTGTACAGCAATGAGGGCTGTCGTCCACCTGGAAAAGGCGTCTGTTTTGTGGTGTTCTCTGGACAACAGATCGTTAAAGCTAATGACCCAAGTCTCGCGATAAATGGTAGAAACGTCAACAGAGAGAGCAAACTTAAGTTTCTGGGAATTACATTTGACAGGAGCCTGTCCGTTAGGGAACATGTGGAGACCGTTGTGATAAAATGCCAAAAAAGGACTTAGTGCACTTAAGACTATGGTTGCAATTGACATAGAGCAGAGAATGCTTTTCACACTATATCAGCACCTGATCCTGTCAGTGGTTGATTATGGCCTGGGAATGCTTACCGTCTCAAGGAGTCAGATGGACAAACTAGAGCGCATACAGAACGCGGCTATGCAGGTCATTCTGGGTTGCACCAGAGACACCCCAGTGGTATGTATGCGATACATCCTTGGTTTGCCGACTGTTGCAGGTAGGCACAAGGTGCTGCAGGCGAAGTCATATCTCAGGGTAGCTGCAGACACAGACCACTCTCTGCTTGAAGCTCTGGGTGCAGTTAAGGGTCAGCGGCTGATAAGAGGAAAGTCATGGATGGCTCAGGCAGAAGACACAATCAGACAGGTTTGCATCCTTGAGAATATTAGGCGAGGAGAGGACTGGGTCAAAGTGCCACCTGAACAGTCAGACTTGTGGAGGGTCATAATCACACTGCAGAGACTGGCCAGCAGATGCACGGAGGTGGAAATTCAACAATTAATTCAAGATAATGCTTGCTCAGATGATTTGATAATTTACACAGACGGTCCAGTGTCAAGAGGCAAAAGAAGTGCTTGGGGTTTCTTAGTAAAAGTTCGACGTTTGGTGCAGAAGAGTCTAGTATATGATACCTCAACGTCCAGCTTGAGAATGGAGGTGGAGGCGGTCACTGCAGCTCTCCGCTGGTTAGAGAACACCACACACACACGCGCACACACACGCGCACACAGACACACACACACACACACATTGTGATTGTAAGTGACTCAGAAAGCATGTTGAGGAAGATTAGGACAGGCATGCCTCGCTGTGGATGGCACGGGTGAGGAGTGTAGTCTGGATTATTTTCACCGGGGCACGCCAGTCGTTGGACAATGAACAGGTGGACACTGGCTGGTTCTGCACAACTTGGTGGAATACTAATACATGATGAGGCAGACGTGGTTAGTGCCTTGTGGGAGAGCGTGTACAGTTCGGAGAAGCAGATGGATCACCACAGTCTGGTGAGATTGATGCAGCGGGGGGTGACGAGAGGTTCTGGCAGATGCTCGAGGCTCAGAGGAAAGGCAAGACGGACGTTTAATCAGAATGCTACTGGCACCATTAGTATCGGAACTCTTTCCTGGCTGCTGAAGATAGGGACGGAGCGCTTTTGGGAATGCCCCGAGTGCTGTGATGTCGGTTTTTGAATTAAATTAAATCGTTCGTTGGCGGTGGCTTCCCTCTGAGATAAATAAAGCAGTTACACGGAGCGTAGGAATTGAAAAATATCGCTGTTTCCATACCCCAGAACCGTCGCGCAGGTAGCAGAACGTGAAAATAATCGATAAGAAGTGAACGATGAGAAGACGAGGAAAAAGGCAACCGTTAAACCGTTCACAATAAGGAAAATGTGACTCCTCCAGCAACATAGGAGAGGTCCAGCGACACGCCTTGTTGCTTCTCAATCCATCCAACTAATACGCAATTGTTGACGTCCTCCTGTTACAACTGATCTTATCTGCCAGGTCGACCCAGCCTAAACGGGTACCAGATAAAGTCCTGGGAAGCAAAGACGACCGGTATGGTGTTAAACATATCACCCTCACCCCCGAGTGCCGATTGGTCTATACAATAGAGGTCTATAAGCTTAGTACGTCTGAAGGCGTGGCGATAGGTCCTTTACTCATTGGTACTGAAAGAGTCAAAAAGGGCCCTTTTTATTTGTGGCACACTGGGCATTTGATGTTAAATTCATATTTGTATAGACCTCGGTGAGCGATGTGGTCAATATCACGCCGGGCACCTTTATTTCCCAGGACATTTCCCATTTAGGCTGGGAGCAAAGGTCAGTTTGAGAGGAAGAACATCAGTTTCCGTGCGGATTTAAACCCAGGGGCCCACAGGCGAGCATCTAGCAACTACGCTACCGTGGCTCCCCAACCGTCTTTACTTCCCAGAAAATTTACTGATAACAATTTTAGACCTACCGACCTAGGCGCCAAGGTCAATTACAAGGTTCCTGAATTAATTAATATAGACGTGATTAGTTATGTGTGTGTGTGTGTGTGTGTGTGTGTGCGTGCGCACGTCTGTGTGTGAACGCGTGCGCGAGTGTGAGTATTCGGAATCTGTGTGTGAGTGATGCAATTTATGTTTATGTGGTGGGTGTATGTAATACTGAATATGGGTAGTACAGTTTGATGACTGTGTGCGTGCTTTTGTGGGTGTGTGTGTTTGTGTGTGTGTGTGTGTGTGTGTGTGAGTTTGTGTGTGCCTGCAATACAGATTTGCTCACCAACATTCTGTGCAAGTCTCTGAAAGGTTCGTAACATATCCAACCTTCTGTTTAAAATACAGACACTAGTTTTCCAGGAGTTGTCTGTCTCAGATGGGCTGTGAGCTGACTAAAAATAACGTGGTGGTTCCGGAAATGCCCGAGGAGGATGTTACGGTGTTTTCCGACACTCAGATAGATACCATCAGAAGCACCTGGCCCTTGCTATCACGTGACGGTGTCAGGGTCGGTGTGGAGGTGTTCATGAGGATCTTTAGAGAGACTCCTTCCATCCGACGATTGTTCGAATCCCTGGGGTAACTTGTTCGATTGCCTTGTTTTTGGGAATCTTGATTTTGTTATTAGCTTTGAATATCAGCTTATTTATTTGCAGTTTCAACTTCAGAGCAAACGAGTAGTCCCACAATTGCTTCGTTTGTGTACCACTGGAAACCTGATAGAATGAACTATCACTGTTACTTGTGGGAAACAACTGGAACGGATTGCAGTACGGGTAAAGCCAACAGCATACCCAGGCATTAAATACATAAGGCGGCTGACAGACGCGCTAGTTCATACAGTCCGCCTCTAAAATCACAGTTCATCGTCAACGGAAGCAGTAGATAGAAGGAAATCAAGTCCCCATCAGCACTCAAGTAACAGGCCACCTGCCATTTTCCGAATCTTCCGTTCACAGCGCAAACGACTGAATTCGGTAGCTTAGAGACGAAATTATACTATCACTGCAAATATGGCGGGGTGGGAGAGATTTGCAACTGTAAACCGTTGCCAGAAGCAAAACATATGCCACAGCCTCATTGGTCGGCTGCCTATCCACCCTATTGGACAGAAAGTGTCAACAACGACATGAAGAGGATATGGATATAAAATAAAAATAGTTAGGCTATCCTCCGAATAAGAGGCACAAAAGATGGCGGCCGCAAAAACACCCTAGCAGAGCCTCAGTCACGTGTCAATTGTGCACTTCCGGCGACCTAATTTACGGTTTTCCGGCGACTAACGCCACCGCCGAAGGTATCCCCCACGCCGCTCACGCGGCTTGGATTGGGGCTAAACTAGATGGCTAGGACTTACGAGCAAAGCTGCAGGAGATACGGAAGCTGCTGCTCGAGCCATCTAGTTTAGCCCCAATCCACGCCGTGTGAGCGGCGTGGGGGATACATTCGGCGGTGGCAGTAGTCGCCGGAAAACCGCAAATTAGGTCGCCGGAAGTGCGCAATAGACACGTGACTGAGGCCCTGTTTTTAGCCCACATCTTTTGTGCCCGTTATTCGGAGGATAGCCAGTAATTAATAATAACCATAAATAAGAAAAATATTTATTATCATTATGCACTTAATCAAGGCTTAGAGCTCTTGAGCGCACCCTCCCCACCTTAGTAAATTAGTAATTGACAACAGCCCACCTAACCTCTGATGTTTTATTTCTGTCGGCGCTCCGGTGCTGAGACAGAAGATGAAAGACTAACACAATTGTAGGGAACCATTAATCTCTGATTTCTAAAAGGTTAACCGAACTGGGCCCTCTGTCGCATCGCGCATATAGTGCTTATAGATATATAGTTTAACAGACAAACCAGCACTGGCTGGGTGATGCAGCCGATATCACGCCGGTCACCTTTACTTCCTCTTAGTACCCATCTAGGTCTTTCCATGTGGGTTCCTCAGTTCCATTTCAGAATAAGAAAAAAAATAGACCCACTGCAGCATGTCGTAAAAGTCGACTAATTGTGAGGGAATGCACCCGCCTGAAAGGCGAGGAACCAATAGTCTGCATACAGATAACCCAGATATGTAAAACGTATGTGCAAGCGTTCTTTATCTAGACTGCAGCCCAGAATTGGACTAAGAACCAGCCCTCTCCACTGGAGTTTACAGCCGGTGAATGCCAAGAAGAAGTCGGTTTCGACCTAGGAGCCAATCCGAAATTCGGGAAATAAATCAGCTTTGGTGCCGATTTGTACCTTGGACTGTCGCGCAGACAGGCCAGCATGGGGGTGATGAAAACCGCAGACAGTGGTTATTTGTGTTAAAGATAATATTTGTCCATATACAAGTTTAACTTTTCAATTCTACCACCCTCCAGATCGAAAGACATAGACAACCTGCAGCACTACCCTGTTTTCCAGGACCACGCTCTCAAGTTCATGAAAGTCCTTGAAAGTCTGGTACAGAACATGGAGGATCCTGAAGTCATTCAGCCACATCTGGTGGCTCTAGGAGTCAGACATGCAGCCATAGACGGCTACCACCCGGAGTACTTCCGTGTTTACAGCAAGTGTTTGCTCGAGGTGTGGGAGATGGAGTTGGGCGAGGAGTTCATTTCGGAAGTTAAGGAGTGCTGGAAGCACGTGATCAAATACATAGTTCGATATATGGTGCATGGCTACGACATGTGTTTGACCGACCAACTGGAGAATGTTATGACAGATTGTAACTTTGAGAAGTTGGACTATACGTGATTGTAACTTTGGGAGGTTTGACTACACATGATTGTAACTTTGGGTGGCTTGTCCTTCATAATTGTAACGTTTGGAGGTTTGACTACACATGACTGTAACTTTAGGAAGCTTTAATATGTGATAGTAACTTTGAGAAGTTTGAATATATATGATTGCAATTCTGAGAAGTTTGACTTCATTTTATTGTTACATTTAGAAGTTTGACTACACTTGATTGTAACTTTTGATAGTTAAAGTGAGTAAATCAAAGTATAAACCATCTTCACAAGCAACAGCATAAATGCTGCAGTTTAGAGAACTTTTGTCGGCAAATATGAATAGAAAGAGACTGATAAAACTAGAGTCAAACTATTTTAAAGGTTACGTGGCTCACTATCGGTTCCCCAGACGTCTGCAATGACATATGTGTAGGGAACAAAATTCAACGCAAGGAAACTAGACTTTGAATATTGTACTTTAGAATAAAATGTTTTTAGAACCTTTGCTAAACTAAGTGATTTTTTTTTTGTGCAGTTCATTTGAAATCTAGTTTTATTACGGCTTTTTTTTTCCGGGAGGTACTCACGATACCCAGTACCAGCACCATTTTAAGACATCAGTTTTTCAGCACTACTGTAATAGACACTTTGTAGTGCGTACCGGCACCTTTAATGAGACATTCTGTGGTGCTTACCGGCGTCTTTCTTTCCAGAAAATTATCCCTGCTTGAGGAGGGACTGGCGGAACGGTTAGAACGCGGGGCTCTCAAGCGAGAGATCCGGGTTCGAATCCTCGGTAAGGCTAGAATTTTTTCAGGGGCAAAATAAATTCTTCACCTGCACAGTCGTGGCGACAGCACTAGCCATGCGGCCGTAAATACTCAGGCTCAAAGACTCCCCAGCGCCTACACCGCAAAAGTGGGGTAATGAAGACAGTAACTGACAGTTTTATGTGTTATCCCTGGCTGTATGCATGATGATTTTGCCCTTATAATGCACTTACGAATTGACGAAATGAGTCGTGGACATGTGAAAATGCAAGAGAATATAACCTATTTATTGGATTTTCTTTATAAAGCTCTGTTGCCGTACACTGTGAAAGACTGTTATTTGCCAGTCTTACAAGCAATTTTCTTACACTTGTGTCACTGTATATCCCTTAGTTGTTTGTCTACTAATTTTCTCTCCAGTTTCACGAATGTATAAACTGTCGTTACAACTGTATTCACAGCCAGTATTTACCGCGTTTAGGCCGACAAGGCGGAAGGATTTCAGGTCTCATGGCTAGTGCAGACGTCAAAAACTATGAACTAGACATCAGCTAAGATTTATTATTATTATTATTATTGCCACGGAGAGACCCCCCCCCCCCCCCCCCCCCAAAAAAAAAAAACTTTTCATCCCTTACCGAGGATTGAACCCGAATCTTAAACAGATGGCTGTCCATAGGATTAACAAAGAATTGATGAGGTTACAAAGTACCCTGCAGTCCAATGTAGGAATGGGATACTAACAACTCAACGGAATCTTCAGCTTAATATAAGATCGAAGAAAGAATATAAAAGATGCGGACAAAAACAATACATGACACCAAAGTGGTCAAGCTGTTTGGCTCTAAAGGTCGTGGCTTCGCTCAACTATTGCCTTGTTCAGTTCAGGAGTTCAGTTTTTACAGAGACACCCTGGGGATCGTCGCCTGTATTCGTGCTTTGTGCAAAACTCCCAGCAGGCGGCTTTATTATAAAGTAGCTCACCACCCAGGGGGCCAGCAGAAGCTAATATAACAGCATGCTCATAAACCCTACACCGGAATATCCCGGAGAGAAAATCCACGGTATGCTCTCCATCCGGGTCTTATCAAGCGATGCAGGCCACTCTATGTACAGGACACACGTTTCGGTTTTCCGAAGCATGCTCAGTGAGTCTGTAACAATTACAACATGTCGAGACGTAGTGCTCTCCAGCCATCGGAAAGCTGCCGCTACTGTCCCATTCTCATACTGGATGGTGTGACGTTATACGCAAAGCTCTCTGTTTTCAAACAGAGTCCATTCACCTTTGCAATAAAACCCCACACTCTTTCTATCTCTCTCTCTCTCTGCAGATCCATCTTTATATTAATAAAAATGTTAATTTTCCGATGTTGTTAGCTAAAAACTCGGAAACTACTGAACCGATTGCTTTCAAATTTTCACACAACGTTGCCTTTGACTCCAAGCGTGATTTTTTGTCAGAAAATCGCACAAACCACGAACGACGTAGCTCCAGCAACGGGCAAATCATTATTTGTTTCGTTGCTGGCCCGGATTTGTTTTTAATTAATTGGTATTATTTGACTGCTGAGCTCTTATTGAACTTTGCATTATTATATAATTTCATTTCCACTATCTTTTTGAGTGATTGGTACTGTAGTTTGTAGCTATTCTGCCTATCATGCGAGTGACCCGCGTTCGATTCCCAGCTAGGTGAAACAATTTTATTAGCCCTTAATTGGGCGGCTGGCACGTTGTGTTGTGGTTTATGGCTAGGCTGCGATATAAACGCCTTTTTTAGGTTTTGAGGTTTACAGCTAGCCTGCGACAGCGGCGACGTGATGCTCAATGGTCATGTCACAGGTAATCTTCGTTCGCCTTCGAGAGGGCTGTTGGCACGTTGTGTTGTGGTTTACACCTAGGCTGCGATATCTGACCTAAACTCTTCAGTCGTCGGTAGTATAGTTTTAAGTATGTCATCCTTCATGCGGGTGACCGGTGTTCGATTCCCGCTGGGTGATAATTGTTCTTTTTCCCTTAAAAGGGTGGCTGCCACGTTGTGTTGTGGTTTACAACTAGACTGCGATATCTGCGTCTTTCGCTGACATCCGACTTACAGTCCAGTTTAGTTTGGGTGGACATGGATGCCAAGGTCAGTTAAAAATCGTTCCCTCGGAGAGGGAGAGATGACGGGTGCGGGGTATTTTTCTCCGCTATTCGTGAGTATAGTGTACTTTTCACTGTGGGTACCATCACTGGTTACGTGATGAAGTTTTTTTTTCTTCTATGTCGGGGGCAAAATTAAACTAAATAGTCCGTGGCGACAGCATGCGGCGCTAACTCCTCTTTTCTACGCCGACCTACACAGACTGTAGTGACAGTTTTTGTTGTTGTTGCTGTGATGGTGGTGATGGTAGTGGTTGCAGTAGTACTGGTACTGGATAGGTGATGTGGTAGCTGTTAACCTGGCTACATTTACTTCTCTGTACAAGTTAATGCTACCTATTTAAGTCTGGGTGGTCACGGATGCCAAGCTCAATTTAGTTACAATATTTCGTTACAGGGTGACTTTCTCATCCTTCGGAGAAGATGATTTGATTGGGGGAGGGGGATTATGCCAGACACAGTTAGCTGAGAGAGCCTAGAATATTATTTTAAAGTTCTCATTTCTTAACTATTTCTATTTTAATAATTTCGCCAGGTGATGATTTTTCAATCCTACGGAGAGGGAGATATGATTGGTGGAAAGGGTGGGGGGGGGGGGATCATGCCAAACACACTTAGCCGAGAGAGCTTAAAATATTATTTTAAAGTTCTTATTTCTTAACTATTTCTATTTTAATAATTTCGCCATTGATGATTTTTCAATCCTTCGGACAGGGAGATATGACTGCGTCGAGGGGAGGTGGGGGGGGGGGGTGGGCTTATGACAGACACTGTTAACTGAGAGCTATTTTTTCCCTCTTCATTTCACCATTCTTGGCCACAGCAACGCGTGGCCGGGTACAGCTAGTCTTGGATATAACCGTATCTCCTAGGCATGAACTTTCATTGATCAGCTCTTGCGCTGGTGTCTCTGATTCACTAGCTATCCATTCGCTGCACAGCTAGCTCAAGGTAACTGTCACTCTGAGAAAGGCTATTTTGCTAAGCGACACTGTAATCCATTCCTCGCCACGCACTTTTTTGTTAGTAGTACAAACGTGTCTTATATTTACTTTTGCTTGTGCCATCCAAGAGCTACCTCTTTTCAGCCAATCTTCTTCTTCTTCGCGTTCACCAGCTGTAAACTCTGGCGTAAAGTTCTGGTTGTTCATCCACTTCTGAACTGCAGTCCTGCTCCAGAACCTGAGTGTTGTGTGTGCATCAGTTTTACAGATCTGATTCAATTGAATGTAGACTGCTGGTTCCTTGCCTCTCAGGCAGATGCACTCCGACTTCAAAGGAAGCTCCCCAGTTAGTCGACTCTTACGACATGCTTTTGGGGAGGCAGTGGGTCTATTCTTGTTTTCCCCACAATAGGGCCCCGGAACCCACACGGGGGTTTTCAGCCAAATTACTTTGCTGTCTCCTAAGGCCCCGTGTAGAATTTGATCCTTGTCAATTACGACTTCAAAGTACATCATTGAGAAACAGAAGATACGATGTTTTAGTCATCTCCTTAGAATGCAGCCACAACTGCCAACACATGCCCATCACATGACAAGCTCTGATGTTAAAGCAAGAAGTCGCCCTAAGAAATTATGATTGAAAGACCTTCTACGCTGACAAGGAATGACAATAGCCATTGCTACCCATCAAGCAATGGATCGCAAACTGTTACTTCCGATGGCGCTTAACAGCAAATATGGAAATTGATGAGGATGATGACTGTCTGAGTGTTGCAGTGTTTGTTCCATTTCCCTCTCTCTGAGTTCTAACTGGGTCAGATGGTGACGTATGTTGATATGTGATGACACCACTGTGTATTTTCTGATATTTAAATGATAAACACGCGTCTACTTATCTCTACATATGGCAGACAACTACCTGATGTCACTACCACGAAACCCTCTTGCTGGTTTCATGGCTCCACTGCGGAAGTCCAAACGCCCAACCTGGAGGATCAGGGTATCTGCCTTTGTCTGTTCTCTACCCGGTGACCTATTCCGCTTGGTAAGCCCTGCTGGTAGTTACGCTAGCGCCGGCTCAGCTCTCGGGTCTTTCAGAAACGGAAGCTGCCCTACAACGTCAAGATGGAGAACCTTCTGCGGAGACACGGCACAGTCTT